TGAAGACTGCCCGGCCGCCCCGCCGTGCCTTTTTGTCTAAACTCGGAAAGGATGACTTCATGGCGAAGCCGCCGGAAGCACTACCAGCCGTGCGCCGTCTGAGTCTGCAGGATCCCTCTTCGAACAACGCAGTCAGCAGGTTGAATCTGGCTGCATGTCGGTTGCACTCAAAAGCTCAATGTGTAAAGGATAACCTGGATGACCATCGGCCACATAGTGAAGATGATGAGGCCGGGAACTGAACTTGTCTCAGCTGCTGCGGCAATCTTTCTCACAAATCGCTGCTCCAGCACGAACGCTTTGGTACTGAAAGCAACGATGGACCCACTGACCAAGTGCTCCGCTTCTTTTCTCGCTGCCCGCATGTCTTTAGCAGTGTGGAGGCTTCTGCCAGCCATCTACAGTTTTATGCAAAGCTTTCAACACAATACCAGACTTCGTCTCGAGCTCCCTGTTTGTCTATGCCAAAGAAAAATTGATCTTTACCTACACTCCTACACCGCGTCGCTATCGCACCGCATCGCTATCGGAGACGACTCGGCACAGGATGGCCACAAAGGATGCAAACCTCAGATGACAATCCCTGCCCAGCGAAGGCGCTTGCATCTGAGGTGCCCACAGAAAGGCCAAGCCTGGCCGCAATCGTGGAACCGCAGTTCTCACAGGACGGTGACGACCGCCTGAAACAAAAGTCATTGCACACGTGGGCCAGTGCTGCTGCCTTCTCATGCCTGGGCCTGTCTTCGCCTGGCACATCAAGCACGCTGTGCGCTACCTACCGGACTTGCCAACCATGGCAGCTCCACTGTCATCATCCTCACAGATTTGGGGATTTGGGCTTCAAGTCTGTTTTTGGGAAGGGTTTAGTATTGGGCAGCCTCCGGCTCCTCGTGGCCACCGGTTATCCGCACGTTCAAGGCCTGAAACATGGAGGTAGCATGCCTTTTTAGGAAGCTACCAAACGCGATGGGACTTTGCTGCTAAGGCACTTGAGGCTTCCCCTGGCTTGTCAAGGACATATCAAACCTGAGCGGTCCTATCAAGCATTGATGTTCCCAGACACCTTCGAACTCCAATTCGTGCCACATCTTACGCTGAGACCACAGGCAGGACTCTGACAGGCCCCTCCGCCACTTTGGGGGCCTCCGGCAAAACTCAACAGCTGCGAAAAGCTCCTTTGCCGGTCGAAGCAACCAGGAGCAACCACGAAGTGCTAAGATCCAGACAACATGCTTATCCTGGACAAATTGCTGCAATGCACCACAAGACAGCAAGCACATGCTTGAAAGCGCCTTCGTTTGCATTTTGTGGCCTTGGCAACACTTGGTGCTCAAGCCTGGAGAGACCATTGGACGCCTGACAGCCTACATGAACGAGGCGCCGGCCTATCCAATAATTTGGCGGCTTGCCCCTAGCATGTCCGAGGCAAGACAACAACAGCAACCGCGCATCACATGCCAACAGGCCGGTCTGACACAAAATGTTTGGCATGCCTCCGATGCGGCACAGCAAAGAGCACTGACTCGCAAAGCAGTGGCAGCATGGAACATACGACACAGCATGGGAAACTACGTGTATCTTGCTGACCAAGCTATCATCAAACCTGCCGAGGTGCAAGAAGATGTCTTTGCCCCCGGTGTCACCATCTATAAATCCCCAGCCTGCAAAAGCAAGCAAGCCAAGTTCATCATCAGGCTGCAGCACAAACACGGAGCGAGATTCATCTAGTGGAAGGTGGGATGACTACATCTTGCAATGCAGGCCGACTCCGGCAAAAATAGAGCTGCAGAGGACAACCTAATCCTGCCTTCCAAAAACCCCACAGTCTTGCCACGCTTGGGGAAACAAGCACAAATCTGACAGATCGATCTTCCAGCATAGATCTTTTCAGACGAATCTGTTGAAAAGCGCAGTGCGCAGTTCATGTCAATGTGAGCCGATTCCCGTGAGCCACATGTTCCAGAAGCGAGTGCAAGACTGTCATGACCCGCAATACTGTGGGACACCCAAAGGCCCCTTTGTGGCTGCAGGGGGCCACCTTTGTCTGCATTGAACATCCTGATGGTTCCCACCTCGCGGCAGCCGGTGGCGCCACATGGACCTAACAACTTCAAACTCGGCACCAAGCCAGGTCGTATTGCTTCTCGCCATCACCGCCTCGCAGAGGATTGATGCTTGAGGTTCCCAGGGCGCGTGTCGCAGGACAGAGGTGTCTCACCCAGCCTTTCCGCCTCCTACGGCAATCAGTTGGTGGTGTCATATCAGAGACTCGCAGCTCACCAGCTCCTTTTGTTTCCCTTGCCCCCGCTCCCAGCTCCATCGTCTGGTTGACCTGGGGAAGATTCATGATACATATGTTCGTCATATCCACTAGTTTCTGTCGAGATTCTTTGATGGTTATTTATGCATGCTTCTCTCACGGAAATCAACAACAGACTTTGGTGTAACAACTGTACTTACTACGAAGGTTCAAGCGTCTTGCCAATTGTAACATGACAATGCTAATTCTATAGCAAATGCTGGCACTGAGCGCAATGATAAACGCACCGCCACTGTCACTGCTACTACTGCAGCTATAGCTGCTGTTGCTGTGTGGCGGCCGCTGCTGCTGTTGCTGCTGTAGCTGCTGTCGCTGCTGTCGCTGGTGTTGGTGCTGTTGCTGCCGTTGCTGCTGCTCCGTGTCCTACCCCTGCGCCTACCGCTAAACGAACAGTAACTGCTACGGATATCCTTTGGATGTGGAAACTCAGCTCCCTGCCTTGCCCCTCTGGGGGTTCAGATGCCGGCGGCTCTGACATTCCAAGGGTGTCAAGGAGTAGCAGTCATTAGATTGTCTTCCGGAGCTGACGGCTTTTGTTGGTGGGTGGGCTGTGGAGAATGACGTCGCTAACCGCAAGTCACAAAGTGTGAAGGATTTGTGGAAACAATTAGATGGCGACCCTGCTTCGAAGTAAAGCGTTATGTAAGATCTTCACTCACGAGGAATTATGTACCACTGCACCATTCATCCACGCTCTTTCATTCTGTTTGAGCTGGGGCATGTCTTCCACCATGATGCTATCTAAAGCGCTGAGATCAAAACCGAGGAGTGAGCAGCCGGCGGACGTGTTAACGACATTGAGACGGAACCACAAGTTCCACACAGCACATGCATGCAGTGACGCTGGCTGTAGCTGCAGCTGGATGGTTGTTCTTTGCTGACAGAAACAACACCTTGCAGAAAAGGCTTGCGACACCGGACGTCTATAGCTTCGAAGCTTAGCTCCGTGACGTTGTGAGACTTCTTGGGACCGCCTCGCCGGGCACGCCACAAGCCTTGAAGTACAAAAGCCTCAAAGGCCAAAATTGGCACTGACACCCAGGTTGGCCGGTCCAACACCTTCCAGGGTGCACAGAGGGCTCAGGAACTCCTGAGAAACCTTCCTTGGCGATGTCAAAACCCCAAGAGAGCTGCAAGGCATGGGCACCTCGAACAAATCCAGCTTCCGCGGTCACGGGGTCCCTGAATTTGTGTGAGTCACAGCCCACTCGACTTGAAAGAGACTACGGGTCTTGCCTGTCGGGGGAGAGGTTCAACTCGATGCTCGCACGACCCTGCTGAAAGCGGCCGATCATGGTTACTGGCGTTCCTGGAATCCTGCCACGAGCCCCCGTGGAGTCGGACTTCAGCGCACTTCAGTCCTCCGTGCCAGTCCTGTACGAGCTCGACAGGAACCACGGTTGGCCAGCACCTAAAGCGGCAAAACCGGCAACCCTCCATTTCAAGTCCTCTCTTGCCAAAACTAAAGACTGTGGCTTGGGTGCTTTTTACTATGCGGAAACAAAGCCCCGAACACACACAAGGCTTTCAGGCACGGACGCATGTGCTGCAGTCGCATCTGCAAGTTCTCCATCTGACTTTGCAACCTGCACATGTCAGTCAATGCTGTGTGTCTGTGGAAGCTGATTACATGCCTTTATCGCAGCCCCAAGGCTGCCATGGACCGGCCTGCTGATGATCTCAACAGTATTTTGCTGAGACTTCACCTTGGCAGAGAGCGCATGCGCGCTTTAGCAGTGCCCCGGTTTTCTTCAAAAATTTGAGCAGCTTGCAGCCTCCGCCTCCTCATCTCTAAACGCCTCGAGGGGGGGGGGGGGTAGACTCTAGGCCGCTTGAAAATCCACCACTCCAAAACGCCTCTCTCACTTGTTTTTTTTTTAAGTACGGCACAGCATCTCGTCTAAAGCTGCCCTCGAGGACAGCTCTCAAAGCATAGCGGTCCTGTTAGCGCGACAGCGGCTGGGAAAAACCTAAACGTAGCAGAAGAGCGTTCAACGCCTCGCTGTAGCTCCAAGAACTGCCCGGTCTCTTCAGCTCCTCGGCCTGCAAAGACCACGACTCGAAAGCGCCCTCGAAACTCCTTCTCCCAACTGCATGGAAGCGCATACTGCGCCTGGGAGACGAACTGCTGATCTGCTTGGGAAACAGCCTCAGCCGGTCCTGAACCAATCAGAGCGAAACCTTCGAGAGCTTCTGTGAGTGGCTTGGCAGCCCACGGGAGGCTTTGAGGAATTTGGCCGCAGTCTGCTGCCTCAACAACACCTGCAGCAGGCGTAGCAGCAGCTCTTCTTCACGCAAGCAAGTCGCCCAGACTGCTGCGGCTTCCAAGTGCCATGCCAGCTGCTGCAGGAAAAGGTTCTGCAACATGGCCTTGACTCCAGTCAAACTAGTTACTGGTTGACAACGAAATTGCTGGCAGCTCTCACATCACATCTTTGATCGAAACTGCCACATTGCGATCATGGGAGGTGACATTTTTCACTGCTGCAGAAACCATTTGCGAACTGGCCGGGTGATGACCACTCGGGCAACACATTGATTACTAAACACAATTAAATCAGTTGTGGAGAAACTTGTCTCTGGTTTGTTGACCTACTCTACTGCAGAACCCAGATCTCTGACCACTGCGTCACTGCGTCCATTGAAACCGGACATCTTGGATGGAACGTCAATCGGATGATCACGCAGGTGCCAGGGACTTGCCCTTCATGTAGGCACCGCTTTCAATGTCGGGATGTGGCTGATGCTGGAACTGCACAAACTGCTTCTCAAGGTTCCCGGCCTGGTTCGTGAGAACCGCAACTGCCGCCAAGTTGCCCGCTCGGTCAATGTAATTTGGAGCACTAAAGACTGTGACCACATTCGGGATCGTCTCTTGATAACCCGCGGATTTCGTCTCGTGTGATCGGAGCATGTACTTGAGGTTGTTAGCGGCAAGGAACCTTTGGGCCACATCCGGTCCAAAAGTGTAAACCATGGGGACTCGAGTAGAGGGCCCGTAGCCGTTGGCACCCTTGGGATCTGACCAAAGGAAGTCGATGACCAGCGGGAACTCCATGGGATTGGGCTCGCAGACTCGGTTCGTGGCCTCGATCTCTGCGAGCGTGATCTGCTTCTCCCTTTTCAGGACCCCCGCGGCCTCATCCGGGGCCTTCTGCATCCACTCCTCCCAGAGCCGCTCCTCGGGGCCCGGAAGGCCGGCGTGGGCGACGAAGACCTGATTCTCCAGGACGTGGGCCAAGGGGAGGTAACGAAAGGTCTCGCTGAAGAGCTCCATCAGCTTCTTCTCGTACTTCACCTGCACCTCACCGGCAAAGCCGTACTGATAGTTTGTCATCTCTGACTCATGGTTCCCACGGTTGAAGTGGACCGCTGTAGGATGTTGGAGCTTGAAGGCATAGAGGCAGAGGAGCACCTCTACCGACCATGGCCCTCTGTCCACGAAGTCCCCGTTGAAAAGGATTGGATTTTGAGGGCTGGGCTTGCCCGAAACCTCCTGAATCATATGGACGAAGTCGAAGTACTGACCATGCAGGTCACCGACCACAGTAATCTTCGTGCCTGGTGGAACTGCTACTCTTTGGAGGGTTTTCTCTTGCTTCAAAATGTCCATAACGTCAAGCGCCATCAAGTATGCATACTTCATGGGCAGCTTGCCCTGTTGCTTGTAGAGGGACAGCAGGTGATCAATGAACGCATCATTCACCGATGCCGGCCCTTGGTACGGTGGCCCTGTGTAGTCTGGAGGCACCGGCAGACTCTGGGCATAGGCCCTAAGATCCTCTCCACCCCGAGCCATTCGTGGGACTCGGCTGAGTTGCCGGAGCCGAACGCCGGAGCTGGCGCTTCCGGCGCTTCCGGCCATGCTCGGCTGGCCCGGCGCTACCCAGGCCAAGAGCTGCGAGCATGCCCAGAGGCCCAAGGCCAGAAAGGCCACTGCAACACTGCTCCGCCGCATCTTCTCCAGGGCCCGCGGGGCCCACTGCGGCTGTTCTGCTCGAACCAACAGCTACTCGAGAGTTCACACTTCAAACACTTCGTACAAGCATGCACAAGCGCAAGAGATGGAGATGCTCAGATGGCGACATCCACACTTCTCTCAATCTCTGTACCACCAGAGCCAACCTCTCGGGCACACAAGCTGGCGTGGTCAAAATGCTATGGAAGGCAACACGCCTGCTTCACAGCGGAGTCCAAGACCTGAGCTTTGCGCACAAACACAAACAGGTCCACTACTCGAATAATGCCTGGACTCTGCCGGATTCTCAGGATTGGACAGACTGGGCATACTCACCATATTTAGGCATCACATGACCAGCCGCCTGTAGGGAAACTGAGTCGCTACAGCACCGGAAAGGAGCTGGGCTTTGCTGGGCTATGGGCCACTTGTTCCCGGACACTCTGCAGACTCGCCTCCACAGTGCCTCCACTCGCGACGCGGTGAGCTCAGAGGCAAAGCCCAGCGAAGCGCAGCGAAGTACAGCGAAGCGAAAGCGGCAACCGCTGAGGCCAGGGGCCCACTACGTTGGCGACGGCGCTCTGTTCGCTCTGTGCGCTCGGCGCGCTGGCCGCGGCCTCGGCGGGCTGCGAGTCCTGGACAGGCCACGCCACCACGCATCGGTGCGGCGATCTTTCCCTTCCCTTCCTGCGCAGCATCTGCCGAAACCAGCGCCAAGCTTCTTGCAGCAAGCCTGCGCCAACACCCCGTGGCATTGAACAAAGCGGCGTGCCCTGAAACACGACCTGGTGCATGACAACGCGGGAAATGCCTCATCACAGGGCCGAAATCAGGCTAAGGCGATGCTGACAATCGGCCATGGATGCAGCCCGGGGCATCTGCACTGACAGCTGCGGCTGCCTCAGAAGACCGGGTGTACGAGCTGAGCAACTGGATTCTCCAAGACTATGAACACCAAAGTGCAAGAAGCATCCATCTATCAAGACGGCGTCGCTTCCGGTCCATGTTCACAAGAACACCTGAAACAACTGAAAACTGGACCAAGCCATGGAAAGCTTCTCAAGGCCAACATGATCCAAGGGCCAGGCGAGCCTCACGAAAGAAAGACGGCCCTTCTAAACGGGTCCTATAAGCAAAACCTCCGCAGCAAGTCGCGCATCATCAACAACATGACAACTGATAAGACCAACCAGGGTAACTGGCTGTGCTCCTACAAGGGCACAGCAACGCAAGCCCTCTTTTTGTCCTCGAGCGCTCGGGGCACCGGCTGCGAGCAGATCAGTCTGCCTGAGAGAGAGAGAGGCTTAAGTTGGATTGCCGGACGTCTTGCCGGACCAACAGTGTTGACACGTTCGGCTGCGAGGTTGACGATTACTGAAACTCTTCGTGGAAAAATGGGAAATTGACCGCGGCCCAGCCTGCGGCATGATATGCAAGACAACGACGCTCACGTTGTCCTGTACGGGTGAAGGCAAGGGTTGGGACACAGGAGTGCAAAAAACCTGAGAGAAGCTGGCCTGAGCTTTCCTCTCTTCGATAACATGTTGAACCAACTCCTGCAGTCGTGCATGAAGCAGCTGCAAAGAACATCGGCTTTCGTTCCGGTCCTTGCAAACACCTCGAATGTCGATTGAATCTCCTTCGAGCTCAGCACGACCTGGAAGCGAAAGACGTTGCCCAGATGCGACCCAGCCACACCGAAGTCTTGGCTTGGCTTCCAACCCTCTTCGTTGGTCACAAGGCCGTGGGTGTACTCCAGCGCTTCTGCAGCTGTCCATGCATTCCAAAAACCTGGAAGCAATGGGTGTCATCGGCCGGATACGTCTTAACACCTTAGCCGAGATACCATCGCAAGCCAGAATGACGAAGCGATCCTTTGCAGATGCAGACGAGCCAAGCCAAGCTACCAGTACCGTGCTCACGTCTCCCAGTTACCGACTGTCCTTCTCCCTGTCCATCTGGAACTTCATGTACTCAGGCCTCGATCGAGCCCCAACACTGCAACACCGACGTCCTCTCTTTTGAAGCTCCGTACGTACAGAGCACTCCGAACTTCTTCAGCGTCAAATCGCCGAAGGCACGAGAAACCTCGCAGCTGTAAACTGGCCCAGTGAACTCCATGCACTCGCCAAGGCCTCGAGGATGCCGTTAATGCGGCCGTTCTCCACAGCTCCGCCGGACCTGAGCACTTGGGGAATTTCAGACACATCCATCTCGAGGCAGCACTTTGAAAAGAGGTATCGGCCTCAAGATGCGCTCTTTCTCCTTCATCATCCAGCACCTCATTCATGGTGACTGACCGGCTAACTCTTCGCGCCACACGCCCTCAAGCGGCATTACCAACTCAGGCATCTCTACATGACTCACAACTGCTGCTTTGATGCTTGTGCTGCCGCTGCTGCAACGGAATGCAAAGAGTGTCCTGACGGTTCCATACAGCATGAACCAAAAAGCCTCAAACATCATCTGACCTCGCAAAGTGCATCAGCGTGATTCCTTGGAACCCCGCTGTAAAGCTTTCAGTCCTCCTGGTCATCGACGTCCTTGCGACGACACAGATAGGCCATGCCTGAAACAGGTAGAGCTGTCGAGCTTACCAAAGGAACAGACCGTCGAGTTTGTTGCTTCTCATCGCCGAGACACTATCGCCAAGGTTGATGGAAATCATTTTGTCCGCGTTTGCCAACACCTGAAGTTCAAGCAACAGAAACAGGGGCCTCAGAGCCTGCTGAAGGCAATCACCAAGTCCTGGGGCCGAGACAACGTTTGCCGTGCATCCGTCATAAGCACCTGTCCAACATAGCGCGAACAGTGTGATCTGCAGCCGTATCATTCCATTCTAGGATATTCCAGGCCTGCAAGCTCGGTTGCAATCCGCGCATCCATTCGCTGAAACACGGCCTGCATTGAGGATCTACTAGCTTGTTTCTTCCGAAAACCGGCGGACACCTCCGTTACCTTCATGAGCCTTTTGTCCGCGATCGGACCTGAAGAGACATTGACAACGCGGTCTTCAACAGAACTTCACTGAGCATCGACCCTGCTTGGGCTCATCATTGGCATAAGCACTGGCCAGCCTTCAGCAACGTCACAAGTCTTGCTTCATCCGGCCGAAACACTCTGAGGGTGGAGCTCTGGAGCTAAATAAGTCCGAACAAATTCCGCCACCTGCCGAAAACAGGGCTCACATGCCGGAGAGGGGTTGAAAAACAGACAAGAAACAAAACGCCTGCTTGCCACCATGCCCATCGAACAGCCCAAAAAGCGCGAAATTGCGCTCTTGGGGAAGTTGCGGCACCCTCCGTAGAGAACAACAACCGTGCAAGGCCAATTCGGCAAAGAAGCTGCACATGCATGGCCAACGATCCAAGCTCGGCGCAGATCAGAAAGCGACGCACATATCACGGTTTCGTCCTATGCTTGGAAAATGCACAACAACTCTACAAGACTGCCGGTGTCCTCCATCTGTCGTCGCATGCCCTTCTCACCATATGCACCGGCACGAATGCCACACCATGCGACCTTACTCACTCAACTACAGCACAGGAGAAAACAGCCGGAGGCTTGCGAGTGTGGAAATACTGACGGAAGCTAGGCTATACTGTTGGCGGTTCAGCACGAGAAACCGAAGACGTCACACTCTTCCAATGCCTCGGCTTCCGTGATGTTCTCGGCCGCGGCGACAGTCGCCGCCTTCTTGACCTGTCACCGCAGAACTCCACCGAAAACCGTTGAGAGTGCAGTCCAACGAATTGCCTCTGGCGCCAGCTCTGCAACCTTGTCCAACTCCTAACAAAACGAAACCCAAAGACAGCATCGTCCTCTTGCGACCGTCAGGTCCTCCTCGGCTTTCCTTTTCTCCATTGACGGCTGCACCTTGCGCAGTCCACCCAACTCATTGGGTCCCGTCCGAGCCTCACTGCCCTCCGGCTGCTCTGCACATCTCGGAATCAGACTCCCATGGGCAAGTACTGGCCATGGAACTCAGGCTCTGTGGAGATTGTGTCGCCTGCATACAAGCTAGCAGCCGCAAAATCATCACCAAAACCGTCGACATCTGCCGTGCCTTCTTCCACCTTGTGCTGTCGAAGTGTCTCGTCATCTTTAAGACTCTTGCCCTGGTACTTCAGCCTGGCACTACACTTAACGTTACAGCTACGCCCCGGCAATGCAAGTGATCCATCTCAGCCAAGCACTTGTAGCAGTCCAGGCCTTTCTTCTCCTGAAGCAATAGTCATCATTACCATGAACAATTGGGGGACAAGAGCACGATTGCCTGAATCTTTTTTCGGACACTTTCAATCAGCTCATCCGGGTTCAAGTCAATTTCCACATCGTCCTGCCATGCAATTTTACTTACAACCTCTGCGAACCCTCAGCTGTGGTTTGTGCACTCCTTCCGCGATTTGGATTCAGGCCTCGGCAATGTCTGGGTGGGACCCTTCAAATAAGCGGTCATGAATCCCCACCTAGACTTGATGCTAAGCCGTCTTCGGTCTAAGGTAAATCTTCATGACCACATGCACGAGCTGAGCCAGCCTGTGGACACAAGAATCCACTAGGCAAATGCACGGCCATCCAGAATCAAAACACTGAGCCAAGTCATGGACCGGCGGTCATCCACAAGCGGAGACCCGGAGTTGAGCCAGATGCTTGCATGATCATATCGCGCACTCAAGAAGCGGACATGCTTGGCTCAAGAAGCGCCGACACCTGATTTGTTCAATCAGCTGTTTCCATACCTGACTCAGTTTCTCTTTATTCTGAATTCAAGCATTCCGCGAAACGTTCAAAATGCAGCAGCTCGAACAACCGTTCCCTTCTCCACCGCAATCTTGACGACTGTTGCACACACACACACACACACGGAGATATGGGGTAGAGGCATCGTCGGCTTCCGCCACTGCAAAAGAATGATAGTTCCATTAGCACCTGAAACAACATCCTGTTATCACCTGAAACAGCAGATCGGAGACATGACATCGGCTTCACTCTGTACACTGCAGGTAGGTGAGCCAGGCGTCCCCAGCTCATATCAGTGATCTGTAACAGCCTTTTCGTTGGACTGCCACTGCTACAGATCAGGCAGTCCCCCTGCGCCTCCCCTGCAGGAAACGCTGTTTCATTTCAGAAGCTTTCGAAATACCAAAGACCCCACCATGCGCAAGAAGCCGAGAGACTGTACTTTTCATAAGCGTGAAAGAGAAAATGCCTGCGCTCCCCCTGCGGGAATGACAAAAGTTGCGTAGCCTTCCCAAAAAACCCTTGGTTTAGAATCAGGGTGTGCACACACACACCCCCCTATCAGCAGGGGGAAAATTTGCAACGCAGTCTTGATGTATACCTGGTTAGGGCCTGCGGCTGGTCATAACATGTTGCACCAATGCCAATGTGCTCTTGGCTCTATTCGGGATGTAAAAATCGTCATCCAGATCCTTGTAGCCTGCAATCGACGAAGAAACACCTTCTTGCGGCAGGATTTGACAATGAGACAAAACTTCCTGGAACCATCCAAGTTCTCACCTGGCCTAGGACATCGGCGCTTCTTCGTGACAAGTTGCGGTCCTGATCTGACTGGACTACACAATCCTGACGTGACGGTGCTGTCGAATGTGAAACCTGATATTTCTGACAAGTGGATGCTGCTGACTCATGTGCCGTGGAAGGCTTGTGTTTGACACAAAGTTTGAGACAAACGCAAATCGCCATCCTCCAGACTTCCGTCGAGCAGAGGGTTTTCAACGTTTTGTGGGCTTTGGCTCCGTCCGTGTGAGCAATGCCACGTCTATTCCACTGAAGTTGTGTGAAAAACTGCTGAAAGTCTCAAACAGACCGAATCACATGTAAGGTCACCTGTTCAACTACAACGTTCTCTGTGATTCATTTGATGCTGTTCTGTAGTTTAGGAACAGTGGCAAGATTGGAAGACATTGGACACTAATCGAGATCCAGAATCTTTCCAACGTCTGATCTAGAATCAATACGTGCAAGTGTGGGTCACTATTGGCTTAGTTTTTTGCTCTTTCGTGGCTGCAGAACAGGAATCTGTAAGTTTTCGACAATGACTTTACGGGGGTGGGCCCCAGACCTTCGA